TCTCTCTGACAGCGATAGGTCCTTTTCTATGCTAATTAATCAATGTTTCCATTAATTCACAGCCAACCCGAGAGCTCCGTGTCCCGACCAGCTCTAGCGCTCTACGTTTACGCACAGGAGAGGGGTGTGCGCTCTATTTATCCACTGTCCTCCCCGCCCACACACATACACACGCACACTGTGAGTACTGCACCAAACCAAAACGACCCTGGATTTAGAAGTTTAATTGTTTTCTGCCGACTTTCATCCATTGAGATTCTGCCGGAGGACAGACTTGCGACTTGCACGAGCTCGTCACCGCCGTTAATGTGAACCAGTCGCACCGCGCATACCAGCTAAACCAGGTCCCTCCACTAACCAGGGCCTCGTAATAGGTCGAGGAAATTAGTTTATCTGCTTCTGTCCTCCTGTTTTTCAGCTGCAGTAATTCCGAGTTACAGGTCTCTTTGAAGTCTAGCAGGAAGAAACCTGAGAAGGGAGACAGAAATAGTCCTCGGTGCAGTTATTTGCAGCTTGATGGCGCATTGTGGCACCAAGAGTATCTGACAGCTTGGAGTTTCATGCAAATGACTTCGACAAAAAAAGGGCCTTTCTCCCATCTGTCTGCCTGACTGGGTAGATTAGTGTTCCGTTCTTCATTATAACTTTGGATAATAAACACATGGTCTGAAGCATGACAGTCCCTCTTTTTAAATTCTTTTTAACCACACAAGTCAGGTTCTTCACTGAGCCTGATGTATTTTCCCCCCTCTGAGTTGGAAGAATAAACACCATGTCTCTTTAGTTTTATGGCTCAACTTCAAATACAGGAGGCTCAGAAAATTGGAATAGACACACAGAATTGGATTGGTTTTCATAAATGTCTTTAATGCCATACAAATTGTTTACAGACCTTCCCCCCACAGTGGAGAACAAAAACAGAATCAGTAAGGAATGGCATATGGGCCAGTAATAATGATGTGTGTTATTGGTTTCTACTGACAGAAAGCAGGATATGATGTTGTATAAGGAACATCCAGTCATCAATCCTTATTATTCTGACATTTGTTTTTAACTGTGTCTTAATGTTAAAGTTTTTATCCTCTTTTCCACAGTCTCTCAGCTCATATATCACTCCATCTCTCTCCGTAGCTACATTTGTATTCATTCACCCCGTCCTGGTCTTTCCTTTCATCTCTCTGTCCTCCTGCTCTCCACTCTAACACCAGCTATAGTGTCTGGCAGGCCTCCACACAATATAAAACCCCAGAGGCTCTCCATCTTCTCTCATCTCACACTTTCTCCTTTCGTCTCACTCCAGTGGTGCAGTATGCTAAGAATAGCTTTATAGGAGATTAAGGTAATGCCATTTATGAGGGATTAGCTGTTATCTGGTAATGTTAGTGGCACACAGACAGTTTCTGGCTGCTTTGGACTTATTTAGAGTCAGTCCTTAGGCTCAATGGCACACACAGAAGTAAGATTCACGTTTTTTTTATAGGTTGCAGGATGAGAGAACCTGTGTGCATTTGTGTGTGGAAATGGATAAAACATCAACATTGGTTTTGCTTTCATTGACAGAATCAGGCTAGTTCTGGAAGAAGTTTATACTGTACTGTGACTGACTTCTGCAAAGGCAGCAAAACTGCAGGTTTCAGTATATATAAGTTTCTGAGGTTTGAGGTCAAGTTTTGCAGCAGAGTCATAACCATTTTAAGAGCAGCCGGTTCAAGTGCAAGTAAACTATGTTTGGTTGCTCATTTTGGCTTCAAAATGCAAAACACATTGGATTCTTAATGGACTAAATTGTAATTAAGGGTAATTTTCGGTGATATAGGAATGCCGAGCCGCCCACATCCAATAAAGTGCTTGTTTAGAACGTGAGCATATAAAGGAGGATAAACAACAGAATTCACACCGCAGTTCCCAACACGTGTTACATTCTCAACACTGAGAGAGAAAACCATCCACCCCCCCCCCCCTGGAAGGGGGGGGGGGGGTGGATGGTTTTCTCTCTCAGTGTTTGAGAATGTAACACGTTGTTTGGAACTTGCGGGTGTGAATTCTGTTGTTTATCCTTCCTTTATATGCTCACGTTCTAAACAAGCACTTTATTTGGATGCTGGCGGCTCGGCATTCCTATATCACCGAAAATTACCCTTAATTACAATCTTAGTCCATTTAAGGAATCCAATGTGTTTTGCATTTTGAAGCCAAAACATGAGCAACCAACATAGGTTTACTTGCCACTTGAACGGGCTCTTAAACATGGTTATGACTTCTGCTGCAAAAACTTGACCCAAACCTTCAGAAGCTTATAATACTGAAACCTGCAGTTTTGGCCTGCCTTTGCAGAAGTCAGTCACAGTACAGTATAAACTTCTTCCAGAACTAGCTGATTCTGTCAATGAAAATTGCAAAACCAATGGTTGATGTTTTATCCATTTCCACACACAAATGCACCACAGGTTCTCTCATCCTGCAACCTATAAAAAACACGTGATTTATAGTATACTGTCTGTGGTGACCATTAAGAGGCCTTAGAACTGACTGTCGTATAATACTGAGTGCCGAAAGCAGCCAGATAACTGTCTTGTGTTATCAGTGATATCCAACCTTATTTACCAGATTTAACAGTCATGAATCCTCATAAATGGCATCTACTATAATTCTACCTATAAAGCTATCTTAGCATACTGCTATTCACTATACTTGGATGTAAGAGAACGATGTAAGAAGAAAAAGTCTGAGAATATGATGAGACTATGTATTTAGGAGTAGACCTAACTAGCGTGAGGTAATAAAATCATTGTATCATTGTACGATGGAAGGCACGCACAGTTACGATAAACTAAATATGCTTTCTTATGTGTGTAATAACATAAATAATAAAAATGATAGAATGAGAAAGCAAGTGATGGATCAGATGAAGATGTGATAAGGATGTAATTAATTGACGCAGGACTGGGATAGTGAAATGAATAATAATGATAGCTAGCGAGAGAGATGGATACTATGAAAATAGTTAATTATATAAGAGCGAAGGAGACTGTAAAAAAGTGAAGATAAAAGCATATCGATTGATGATCACAGTAAAAACAATGTCAGAAAATATATAAGAATTGGGACTTAGAGCTGGATGTTCCAATATACAAACATCAATATCAATGGATTTACTGCAGTTTAAAACCAATAACACATCAGGTGCGATATATATTGACTAAGAGATCGCCATATACAATAATCTTGCGTTACCGATTCTAGTGTTTAATATATGCGCATCCACTGTGGAGAATATGGAAGGTCTGTAACAATTTGTAATGTTGTGCGAGTGAAAATACATTTAATGAAAAACGCTAGATTCATCTACCATGATTCGGTGAATGTTCTTATCCTGCAATTTTCTAAGGTAGGATTCTTACTGCTGTATTTGAAGTTGAGCCATGAAAGACTTAAAGATTGAGGTTCATGGTGTTTATTCTATACAAATCTCAGACTGAAGGGAATAAGAAATACATCAGCTCAGTGAAGAACCTGAACTTGTGTGAGTGAGATAAAATGATTTAAAACTGTAGATTAAAGTTGGTTCATGGGGACTGGCTTCCAAATTTTGCAGTTTGAGGTAGTATTATCTTCAGAAGTCATGTGTTTAATTTAATCATGAATATATTATAAAATGAGTAAGAACGGCTACTTAATCTTCCCAGTCAGAGTCAGATAGATAGAAGAGAAAAGGCCTTCTTATTTGGTCTGAAAGAGTCATTTGCTCATGAACTCCAAGAACTGTAGTAGAGATAATCTACTTGGTGCCACAAGGCACCGATCAAGCTGCAATATAAACGTGCTGACCGGAGATCACTTTTCTTTCTCCCTTCTCAGGTGTCTGTACTTGCTGTAGAACTATCAAAGAACCTGTGATAACTCGGAAGTGACGACTATGCTGAAAACAGTGGTAGAGACAGGATATCTATGATAAACTAATTTCCTCACCATATATACGAGCTCCTCGGTTAGGAGGACTGGTTTAAGCTGGTTATGCGCGGTGCGACTGGTTCGATACGAAAATAAACGGCGGTGACCGACGCTCGTGAACAAGTCGCAAAAGTGCTGTCTCCGGTCAGAATCTCATATGATGATAAAAGTACAGGCATGAAAACAATAAATTTACTAAATCCTACAGGTGTCTTATCT